GCATTAAAAAAAAAAAAAGTGCTGTAAGGTTGTTTGTTCATTTTTAAAGCAGGATTAACAAATTCAGTGGTAAAAAAGTAATCTTCTCCATACCCTCTCCATAAACCTGGTCAGCAACCTCCTTTTACCTCAAGACCAGCAACGGATTTCTATGAGACTGACTGAAAGCTAGTTGATCAAACTGAAAAGAAACCATGCTTTCACAACAAAATGAAGTAACAACAGCCACCAGCATTTGGGAGAAGAATTAGCTAATAAACATATTTAAGGAATGTTGTTTGAGCAGGACTTTTTCCAGAGTTTTGAAATAACAGGGTTGGTTGCAATTTTTTCTTCTGAGGGTAAGAAGTCATTGGTTTTAAAAGCGCCTGTAACTATTCAGGCAAGTATCATGCTACCAACCTTATTTCAAACAAATGATAAAAAAAACCCCCAGGGCACTGCCTGTGTTCCTACGTGCGCAGTGCTGGAGCGAGGAGGTGTCGGCTACGGGCTCTGCCATTGCTGCAGGGCACTGCAGGTACAAGCTGTGCGTCCCGGGGCGCGTTACAGCGTGGGGCAGACCCGCTTACTGCACGAGGCAGGCACCTGCACTGCCACAACCGTTTGATCGTATTAGTCATAATCTCACCCCAAGTCATTTTTATTTGGTAAACACAGGATTAAGAGTGTGGGAGAACAATAGCAGATATTTATCTTGTACACAGAGTAAAACTTTGGGTACAGCTCTCTTTTTCAAGGGGGCAGATGTCCGACTGGGAAAAGTCAGAGATTTTCAGCCTTCTGACTCCAAAGCTAGTCCTCATTTTCCATGTCAGTGGCTCTGCTGCCTTCCACTTTTTTCTATGCCCCAGACTCCTTTTTATGGCTATCTTCAGAGGCAGCCCAAGCAAAAGGCTTTCCCAACCCTAAAAAAAAATCCTCAGAATTTAAAATTTTTCTTATTTAACCCAGTAAAAAGCTAAAACCTTGTGACACTTTAAAAAAGCTCTCCCTGGCCTGTAGGTCTGGATCCTAACCTTGCATGAGACATGGCACAACACAAATTGTGCTCTGCCTCATTCAGACCAGAAAGGTGACCCCCAGTCTCACACACCCACCACACAGCATCTTCGGGTCTCTTAACCTGACTCTCAGGCACATGTTAAGCCCAAGCTAAATTAACTTGACTGAATCCTATTTGTCCTTCAAGACATACATACGGAACAGCCGCACGTGGCCCTTAACACGAGGACTGCTCCTCTGGGTTATGCAGGATCAGCAGACACACAGATTTCAGTTTGCTCTGAGCAGTGCAGAAAGAATTCACATAGGTGAGTGCTCTACATGAGCTTAAAAGTAGACGCACTTCAAACAGTCACAAAGTTGGCTTTGGACCAAAGCCTTAGAAGCAAACAGCAGAGATGAACTGACCTCAACCATCCAAAAGAACTAAATTCCCACAGAAAACGGGGAACAAGGGACTAAGACCATAGCTACTTCTGAGACAGGGGAAGGGAGATGTCTGCCCAGGGTTACAGAGCCTTGAACAGAGCTGAAGTACAACCACCACAATATCTGGCCTGTGCACATGCGGTTAGAATGTCACTGAACCAGAGTGGAAAAATAGGTATTTACATCAGACACATTACAACACCAAGGAAAAAAATAGCTCAGCCCACATATAACATATCCATGCAACAAAGAACAATTTCCTTGAAATTCCTGTCAAAAGGCACGCTGATCTATCATCTGTTCATATTTGAGATTCCAACAAGCCAGACACGCTCTGACCAATCCCACTTCTTGGAAACAGGTACTCCTGAGCCCAGCTGGCTGACTTGTGTGGGCATGCTGGTCGGGGCTGTCATATTGCCGCTACATGAAACATTCTGGCAAGCTTGCAACTATCTGCAAGCTCAAGAAGCCAAAGTGCTGTTCTCAGTAAAAAGGAATGAGCTAACTATGACTTTCCTCTCTATTTTGTGCAATTTTGGTGTAAACATAAGCTAGGGCAGTGTCCTGACAAAAAAAACTAAGGGAGTCAATGCCATCTGACAGGCTGTAGTTCAGCTGCAAGAGACACACGGTTTCTTCTAAAATTACTGGTGTAGCGAGAGAAGTATTTTTTACCCCAAAAAGGGGGAAAAACTAAATCTAAAGTTACTTTCTGGAATAGCTCATGGCAAACTCTAGACAAAAGTCAACGGTGATTTGTTTCTCCTAAACGGATATTGGTGTCCCCACTGCACCTCAGGAGAATGTTCACAAAAGCAAGAAAAAATAAACCATAAACCATGAGGAAGTATAGGGAAGGAAAGCAAAAGAAATTTAAAATATTTTAAATATTTCAAAGAATAATGGCAATCTTGGCATTGCAAGATTTCTTTAAAAAGGAAGGCTGGTCCAATAGTTTCGGATTCAGAAGAATCAGAGAAGTCACTTGTAGATCAGTTCACAAACATCCAATTAATAAAAGACTAGCACAGTCTTACCCCCTGGGAGCACTGTGAAGATAAATACATTAATGATTGCAAGGCTCTCCAATTCTCCACTGAGGGGTCCACTTCAGAAATAAGACAGCTAGGCAGAATTTGTGAGTACCGAGAGTGCATCATTAACTATGCCATTTCCAAGTAGCCTGTTGACTTCTCTACAACATTTGGCCTGTAGCAAACCATAACAACAGAAGTACAAGCCACAGAGGATTTCATTATCATTTTTAACTTCGGCACAAAAGAATAGAAAAACTCTTCAGAGCCTCATCACCAATGACGAATCATCAATTTGTGCAAAGTAACTTCATAAGTCATGGTACTAAACGGCACCGCAGCTAATTTGGCTCAATTCCTTTTTAAACAAACCCGGAGCCCTGAGTTTCTGTAAGTTACCAACTCATCACAGAAAAATATTTTCTGGTTTCCACAACGAGCAAGCTGCACAAGTAACAGACGGTGCATACACAATGACAGATTAAATAGAGGGCAACAGTCTAGACATGCACAAGCCCAACTCACTGACTTCCCCCTCCACCTACCCAGCCTTATCCCAGCACCCCCATCCCCTTCCTGCCCAACACCATCCTCCCCTTCCGAAAACCAGAGCTGGCCCTCTGGGAGACAAAGGCCAAATTACGACACTTCCTTCAACCCCACTCTTCAACTTATAGCTCCACAGAGCTAGATTCAGAAGGGCTGTGTGCTGTTCTGAGAGCAAGCATCTCCTTTTTCTTCCAAGTGGTCTGGAACACCTTCGTCTTGTGGAGGACAGAGCTGTACAGCAGAAGTTCACCTCTGAATAAAAGGGAAGAAAGGGCTCCCCTAGACAGAGTGATACAGAGGAAAAGCCGATGCTTGTTGAAGAGAGCTGGAGGTGCACTGCATACCAACTACAGAAGTACAACTCTGGGTAAACTAACATATCTCAAAGTCTGACTTCATTTGAGCATTTATGATTCACCAGGTATATTCTGCACAACCTCCCTTTCCCTATATTACACCAGACCACTTGACACACTACACTTCTTGCTTAGCATTTACGTGAAGTAATTTTAAACCACATCACAGTTCACAATCTGAAATGAGAACAGGTGACATGGAGCTGCTCTGAGTGAAAAACATTGATCTAGCAACAACCAATGGCACAGAGCAGCAAGGTGGTGAGAGGCTGGCAAAGACAAATGAAATAGCTGTAATTCCACTCCTTCTGAACAATACATTGGCCTGTTCATGTGTGAAGAAAGGCCTTCAATCACCTCTCCACTGCATAAACACACCCGCAGTTTGCTGTAACTGAAGCTATTGAGTCTCAGACAGCCTGGACACATTTAGAGTTTGGAATGCTGCATCTGTATCTAGCTTCTTCTCGTAACCGTCTGCTGGGAAAATCTTTAATCAAACACAAGATGTGACAAAGGTAAGCTCATGCTACAAAACCATCGGCAAACCAAGCACAATCCTGTGCAATGGCTGACACCTAATGCTCAGGAAAGCAACTGCACTTACTGACGGAAACGGCAAGTTTCAGTAGGCTCAAGCAACGATTTGTTTAACATTTTCCCCTGCACCTTCACAAACAATGCATTCTCTTTTAACACTTCAGAAAAAAAAAAAATCCAACAAGGAAATATTTACAGTACTTCATATTTACCCGGTGCTTTACAACTTCACACCTCTACAGAAAGTAATCCCTTCTTAATTATCATTTACGCTGAAAAAGGAGGGAGAAAAACCACTAAGGCGCTGACCACAGTGTGAAATCCCAGTCTGACAGTCAACTATCACAACAGAGGCAGGTCAGAAGCTTTCTGAAATCTACTGTCAAGATAACTCAAAAGATTTTGCAGCTTAAGTAAATATTAATATCATCTATTAATCTCTTTAACCGGCATAAAGCCAAATATCCTTTTGGTCAGGCAACATCACTGCAAGTTTAATCTCAGATGGAGAGGTGAACTGGCCAGCCCCTTGCCCTGCACGGACTGGAATTCTGCTTACACAAGGCAGTAGTACAGAGTCTGTTCCGTCCAGGACCAGCCCAGATTCTGGGCATCACTAGCAGTACCAAAACAGTTTGTATTTCCATCTACACCAATTTTAATTACACAGCACCTGTAAGAAAGGCAAGATACCCTGGCAGTTTATATAAATGAACTGCACATTTCCTCTGCCGTACTATTTACAATCGAATGAAAAAACAAAAACAAACCTTTCTGCTTTCTTCCACTCACAGGGTCTGAGGCTGATTATTTTCTACTACAAAGATAATTAGCGGGATGGCACTGAGAGGATATTAGGTCTCAAATCTAGAAGCTTTTTTTTTTTTAGCTAAAAAGAGATCCCTAGTAAATCTGTACGTCAATTTCAGCAAACCCAGTCTCACAAATATCATACTTCAAAATAGCACTCCCATTCAACTCCTTTTGCTTTCACTAAGGCATTTTTGTTTCTCCCACACATCAAATAGGAAACTGAGCATAAGGAAAGCAAAGACATCACGTAACTACACCCATCATTACTTACTTCTCCTGTGATTGGATTCGTTCCATATTTCTTTATCCAAGGAACAATGCTCCTGAAAAGAGAAGGGATAAAGTAATAAGTGACAAGCGCCATCAGAAACCTCTGTTGATGGGCATGGTTATTTTGGCCAACTTGCTAAGACCAAATGATGATTACAGAGCTGTAACCAGTTCACCAACACAAAAATGAAGCTAAGTACAGACAGTAACTTACAGTATGTCGAAGACTGTCCCATCTGGTGTGCAAACCGGGTATTCAAAAGGCTGTAGAGATAAACTAGAAAAAAAGTACACATTCTTTTTAGCAAAATCAGCTGGAAATCATGATGACAGAAGCAAATAACATTTTGCTAATTCACTTGCACACTTAAGCAAGGCCTACACCAATGAAAATACTGAGTAGCTGCCAACACCTGCTACCTGGTTCTACATAAAATACTTTAACAAAAAAATCCATGCAAGGAACTGGCGCAGTTCAGTAAGGTGTAGCTGCCAGCACTCACAGCCACAGAGCCACGGGGTGCTATGACACTCCCCAGCCCGCTTCTACTGCCATGCTGGACCACCCCAGCACAAAAGATGGTTCAAGCAGAAACACTCGCTGCCTTTGCACTGAAACAAGCTAGGGAGTAACTGGCAATCACATGCAGCATCCTCTGTCAGGGATGCTTCCATAATCCATCTAGCCAAGCAGCAGTCGTTTGTAGATGTGGATGGCAACTTCCTGAACCATTCGATTTACAAGTGGATTTCTAACCCACCTCTACCAACTCCCCTCTTTCACTCCAGCACTTCAAGCAGTAAACTCTAAACACAAAAAAATGACATAAATATTCCTTCAATCTACCTAAGCACTGGCTCAGAAAGAAGAGTGATTGACCAAGCATATTCTGAGCAAGGAAAGTAGATTCAAGCCCCAGTTACACAGATTTGAAAGACTAGACTAGAATGCACACGATAATTGTTCTGAATTATTTTATCTCTTGTCTACTCTTTTAGCCATCAGCTACAGTCTCTGAAGACACTAATCATGGAAAGTACAGATATTGTTTCCATTTTTACTGAATTTTTTTCTTGCTGTATTACTGTCATAGCAGACAAATGTCAATGAAAGTAACTACCTTGGAAAAAAATGGCTTCAGTAACAGTTCAGTGTCAACCGCCTGATAAACAGATGCCTCATTGAATATTGACAATGTAAATTTATTGTCTTACCTGCAATGATCAAATGATAAGCGTCTAAAATTAGTTCGTGGAAGGTCTGTCCATGGAAAAAAAAACCACAACAGAATGTTAATAAATACATAGTAGTCTATGTAAATAAGAAGCATTTGAAAGTTACATCGTGCTATATACATAGTGACAATTTACTGAGGACAAGGATAAATACACTAAACCTTACAAAATTGTAACTAAACTCAGCCTTTGGCAGAGCACAAGCAGGCTCCTGAACTGAAATGACACAATCAGCAAAAAATCTAAACAGAGCTCTGACGGACTGACAGCACTGACCTTGAAGGTGATGCCTAACCCTGTGCCCACCTTTAAGCCCTACGTTGAGGGCTTTAAGCCTTGCTGAGGGCAGGGACACCTCCTCTGGGCACTAAACCCCGAATTTCTGCCGGTTTCAGGCTGACCAGCACCGCTGGCCGCGGGACCCCCGGCTGCACAGCCCAGGGGCAGCTTGGCCGCCCCTGCCACAGCCCGGGGCCCTCCGCAGCCACCCCAACCCCAGCGACCCTGCTGCAGGCAG